GATTTCAAGGATTTCATAAATTTTATAATCCGCGTGGTCTTCCCGCACTCTGAGTGGGGAGGGGGGCGTTTGCTTTTGCAGGAGCTCCGGTATTTGAAGTTTATGAAATCCTTGAAATCCTTGAAAAACTAAATCCCGGAATTTAATTTTTCAAGGATTTCATGAATTTTAAAATGCCCAAAAAATCATTGAAATCCTTAAAGAACTAAATCCCGGGGTTCGGTTTAGGGTTTAGGGTTTAGGGTTTAGGGTTTAGGGTTTAGGGTTTACGGTTTAGGGTTTAGGGTTTAGGGTTTAGCGTTTAGGGTTTAGGGTAATATCCTTGAAACCCTTAACAAAAATCAAATACCGGATTTGATTGTGTAAGGAGTTCATAAAAAGTTAAGATGCCGAAAAAGAATTTAAACCCTTTAAAATCAAACCCCGGGAATTGTCTTTTCCAGGATTTCAGACATACCCGCTCATTGCCCATCCCACATCACCCCGCATCATCTCCCATCATCTCCCATCGTTTCTCTCATCCCCCATCATGCCCCATCATCCCCCAATCATCCCCCATCATCTCCCATCATTTCGGGAGGGGTGAAAGGGATGATGGGGGATGATGGGGGATGATGGGGGATGAGACAGTCAGCCCCCTTATCATGTCCCATCGTCTCTCTCATCCCGCGTCATCCCGCGTCATCCCCCATCATCCCCCATCATCCCCCATCATCCCCCATCATCCCGCATCATCCGCCATCATCCCCATCATCTCCCATCATCCCCCATCATCCCCCAACATCATTCCCCATCATCTCTCATAATCCCTTTCACCCCCCCATCATCCACCATCATCCCCCATCAGCCCCCATCATCGTCCCCGATCAGCCCCTATCATGCCCCATCATGTCTCTCATCCCGCATCATCCCCCATCACTCCCCATCACCCCCCATCATCTCCCATCATCCCGCATCATCCCCCATCATCCCCCATCATCATTCCCCATCATCTCCCATAATCCCTTTCACCCCCCGTCTTGAGGGGTTAGTGACTGCCCTAGAGGTTAATCGTATGTCCCCCCGCTTCGTGTTGTTGTGATTTGGTAGGGGCCCAGAGGTTTGTATGAGTTGTTTTCTTCGTTCGTGTTGTAAGGGTTTTGTGAGGGCCCCGGAGGTTTGTCGCATGTCCCCTTTCTTCGTGCTTGTAGGGTTTGGGGAGTGTCTAGATAATTGTCAAAAATCATTCCTTCCGCGCTCGTACTATGAGGGGCTAGTGGCTGCCCTAGAGGTTTGTCGTATATTCCCCCGCTTCGTGTTCCTGAGATTTGGTAGGGGCCAGAGGCTTGTCATATGTCCCCTCCCTTCGTCCCTTCGTGTTGTGAGGGTTGCATTCGGCCTTGGAGGTTTGCCGTATGTCCCCTTTCTTGGCGTCTAGATGATTGTCATCATAAGTCATTTGCTTCCGTGGTCGTATTATGAGGGCTATTGACCGCCCTAGAGATTTGTCGTATGCCCCCCTGCTTCGTGTTCCTGTGAGTTGGGAGGGGCCTAAAGGTTTATCTTTTGTCCCCTCCCTTCGTCCCTTCGTGTTGTAAGGGTTTCGTGAGCGCTCTGGAGGTTTTTCGTATGTCCCCTTTGTTCGTGCTTGCAGGGTTTGGGGAGTGTCTAGATGATTATCACATATCCTTTGCTTCCGCAGTCGCTATGAGGGTATTGATTGCCCTAAAGATTTCTCGTGTGCCCCCCCGCTTCGTATTCCTGTGATTTGGTAGGGGTCTAGAGGTTTGTCGTAATTCCTCTCCCTTCGTTCCTTCGTGGGATGTTTGCGTGTGTCCCCTTTCATCGTGCTTGTAGGGTTTGGGGAGCCTAGACGACTGATATATATATATATATATATATATATATAATTCGATTCCGTGCTCGTATTGTGAGGGGCTAGTGATCGCCCTAGAGGTTTGTCGTATGTCCCCCCGATTCCTGTTCCTGAGATTTGGTGGGGGCCTAGAGCTTTGTCGTATGTCCCCTCCTTTCGCCCCTTCGTGTGTCCCCTTTCTTCGTGCTTGGAGAGTTTGAGGAGCGTCGAGATGATTACCATACATCATTTGCTTCCGTGCTCGTACTATGTGCGGTTAGTGACTGCCTTAGAGGTTTGTCGTATGTCCCCTTCCTTCGTCCCTTCGCGTTGTATGGGTGGTAAGGGTTTTGTGAGGGCCCTGGAGGCTAGTCGTATATCCACTTTCTTCGAGCTTGTAGGGTTTGGGGGGGAGCGTCTAGAGTCTAGATGATCGTCATATATGATTTGCTTCCGCGCTCAAACTATGAGGGGCTAGTGACTGTCATAGAGGTTTGTCATTTGTCCCCCCTGTTTCCTTGGTCCTGTGATTTGGTAGGGGCTTAGAGGTTTGTCATATATTCCCTCCCTTCGTCCTTTTCGTGTTGCAAGGGTTTTGTGAGAGCCCTGCAAATTTGCCGTATGTCCCTTTTCTTCTTGCTTGTAGGGTTTGGGGAGCGTCTAGACGACTGACATATGTAATTTGATTCCGGGCTCGTAATGTGCGGGGCTAGTGACTGCCCTAGAGGTTTGTCGTATGCCCTCCGCTTCCTTGTTCCTGTGATGTAGTAGGGGCCTACAGGTTTGTCGTGTGTCCCCTTTCTTGGCATATAGATGATTGTCATAAGTCATTTGCTTCTGAGGTTTTTTTTTGGTCCCCTCCCTTCGTCCCTTCGTGTTGTAAGGGTTTCGTGAGCGCTCTGGAGGTTTTTCGTATGTCCCCTTTGTTCGTGCTTGCAGGGTTTGGGGAGTGTCTAGATGATTATCACATATCGTTTGCTTCCGCAGTCGCTATGAGGGTATTGATTGCCCTAAAGATTTCTCGTGTGTCCCCCGCTTCGTATTCCTGTGATTTGGTAGGGGTCTAGAGGTTTGTCGTAATTCCTCTCCCTTCGTTCCTTCGTGGGATGTTTGCGTGTGTCCCCTTTCTTCGTGCTTGTAGGGTTTGGGGAGCCTAGACGACTGATATATACATATATATATATGGTACCCCCCCCCCCAGTGACCTACCCTTTTTCGCCTTGTCTCAAGTCACCCAGCTGCACTGCAAGCAAACTCGGTGTGCAATATAGCGTATTTCCTAGGGCGTAGACTAAAATACAATTAAAATCGCATACACGGGACAGTAGAAAAACCAAAAATACCAAAACCAAAAAAACCAAAAAACCAAAACCAAAAAAAACAAAAAAAAAACAAAACCAAAAAAACCAAAAAACCCAAAACCAAAATAACCAAAAACACCAAAAAAACCAATTTTCCGGGACTCTCAGGAAATCCCTATGAGGCTTCTCTCCAAGAGTCCCGGAAAATTGGTTTTTTTGGTATTTTTGGTTTTTTTGGTTTTGGTGTTTTTGTTTTTTTTTTTTGGTTTTTTGGTTTTGGTATTTTTGGTTTTTTGGTTTTGGTATTTTGGCTTTTTGGTTCGCCTTCACGGTCACGAGGCAACAACTACACATTTTTCAGTGTGCTTATGCTAATTGTGCTTTTCAGAAATAGTATACAAGTGGTCTTTCTAGTGCTTCAGAACTATTTGTTTCGTTATTACGTAAGTAGAGCCGCTAGTGTTTAGTGCATCTTTTGGTTGTACTCAAGTGTAGTAGACCTTATTCAGCCATTACTTGGTGCTCTGGTAGCTAAATTCGCATGGATAATATTTGCCTGGTATATGCGATTAATTATCTAGAAGCAGCATTTGCAATACTTGTCTTGAGAAAAAGCATTTATTGCTTAGAATTGTTTGCTTAAAAAGTGACTCCTACTCGTCCAGGGATACCCCAAAACCCTATAATCCAAACTTCACCAGAGATTCTCCTGAAAAGCTTGCGCTTTTGGATGTTTTTACGTATTTGTGAATTTGCTTGTGGTATGGCCTTCACTTTAGAAG